AGCAATGCGAATAACTTGATGGGAACACCTTCCGCTCAAGTATTTAGCCATATAGATTATAACTAGCTACGAAATTTATCATGAGAGATATACATGTTTTGATAATTCCTTTTGAGGACTATCTATGAGTCCAGGACTTTATGATGTCACCAATGATCTCTGACGAAATCTCCGTACGGATACAGAGGGCTAGTTTCGCGTATGCCAGTTTACGCAGTCTCAGGCTTAGTAGACATGATATGCGGCTGGCTATCGACCAAAGGGCGGGCGTACTGCTCATCAGTCTGCTCCGTCCTCCTTTATGGCTGTTAGACCTGGCCACTGAGAGTGGAAGACATGAAAAGCGTGGCTAGCTGTCTTTGAACATAGGTGCCTGCGCTCTATCTCGCGTGTGAAGTGGTATAATGTGAGCAATATTGAGGTTAGGCGTTAGTCAAGTGGTAGGTAAGGAGGGGAAATCAATCGATGAGTCTGTGAAGCTACATCGACTGAGATGGCGAGGACATGTGCTACGTATGCCAGACGTATGGACAATGGACATTGGGGACAGGCTGGAGGCGGTCAAACCAAAACATAGCTCCATCAGTCAATGAAATCTACTAGAGTTAGTTTAACTCACGTAGGAAGGTGTAGACTTCCTGGTTTGGCTCCTAGGGACGTTAAACACCAATGGCTGCAGACAATTAGTGGTATGGCTCAAAATCGTTGTCAGTAGCTGGCTCAGATGCATCCACTGCTTGTAACTTATGATTTCCAATGAAATTATGTGGTTCTTCGTTATTACTACTCCTTTGTTTCACACCTCAACTTACTGTCTCTATTATGCATTTCTTCTACTTTCTTCTGTTGCTTTGTGTGCTACACGGAGTGTGGCGACTTGAACTGTCGTACATGTTGCAGACAGACAGACAGGTGGAGGCTAACGTTTTCAGATTTATTGTTAAACAAACGTAATCTGATATGTGAAACTAGGCATTAAATCAAATAAAGCTCCCTAGGGAAGTAAAATGTAAAATCTTTCGCCCAGCTAAAATTGATTAACAAGCAGAAAACGACACCTTATCTATCCCATTCATTATTTCATATGTCACCTAAAATTCTTCACATGATTATAGACACTTTAAAAGTAGTGGACAAAAAAACTACTCCTTATACATTTCGCACCCTTGATAAGTTTCATGAAAGAAAGAACGACAAGAATTGCAGCAGAAAAATATTTCATTTCATTTCACACCTTCTCATCAGCTGTGTAAGCCACCTGAAATTACAATGGTTATAAGTTATGCCATTAAGATACTTAAATGTTTCAATAGTAGTAAAGAAAACACCATAAAATCAACACCTCCGAAATATAGGCATTACAATTTTTGGCCTAAGCTACCATCGATTTATACGCTTTCAAAATACAAAAAAGGAAGTGAGGGTGAGGAGGAGATAGAAAACAGAAAAATTGAATAAACAGTGTTAACATGTAGGTTGACATTGGCAACTCAAGAAGTTTGCAGTTCATAAAATTGAAAACTTGCTCAGTGAGTTGAAATCGCTATTATGGAATGACTAGTCAGTGTAGTCAAAATACAGTTACCAAGGGAGTGGGCGAGAGATTGATTACACTCTCTTTCTGTAAGCACAATAAGTTTGGTTTGAAACGCTTGATCGCAACTGCTCTAGCGAATCGTAGTAAATTTGCTGTCATTTGTGTGTTTAATGTTTTGAAGGATTTAGAAGTCTCGGAGAAATGACCCGTATCCACATGGTGGGTGTCTGGTAATTGCACTTCGTGAATATCTGCTTCATTTTCAGCATACGTCTCTTGGAATATACTCTGAAAAGCGAATAGAAGTCCTTCTTTCTGTCCTTCCAATGTACTTATTGTTTCAAGTGCACGTAAATTTATAAACACAGTTGGAGGTGATTTCCGTAGGGTACTTATCCAGTTTCGATTGACTTGTAGAGTATGCGGTGCTGTACTGAGTTACTAGCTTATCTGAAGGGGAGCATGTTTTTATTGCTCCTTTTATTCTCTTGTCTATCTTTTGTGATACTGATTCTCCTTCAAATAAGAGACAAATAAACACTTTCTTCTTTTCAACAGTTGAATGTTTCGTTTTCCCGTCTTCTTCTTTGCAGTACTTGGATAAATCCTTTTGGATACCCGTTTTCCTTAATGCATTTTTCAGCAAAGCTTAATTCTTTTTCTACCTTGTTAGGCGAAAATAACTTCTCTTTCGTACAGTGCCCTTACTAATCCCCGATTATAGCTTATAGGGCAGAAGCTGTTTTAGTGAAGATATTGTGCGGTCCAAGTTTCTTTTCTGTTGATGGATTTTTCCACTGTGCCTTCGTTTCTTCTTCTTCTCACATTAAAGTCCAGGAAATTGAACTCACTGTTGTGTTCAAATTCCATGGTGAACCTAATGTTTGGGTGGACCCCATTAAGACGGTCAAATAATAGAGACGCCTGACTCGTGTCATTACAATCAACAAACGTATCATCCACATATCGGCGATAGTAGCTTACTCCATTGATATCAGAACTCAGTCGCGTCTGTTCCAGATAACCCAAGAAGATATCGGCCACTACAGGTCCTAGAGGTGAAACCATGGTGACCCCATCGATTTCTCGGTATTAAAAAAAACGAGAAAATGAAAGGAGCGATAAAAACATGCTCCCCTTCAGATAAGCTAGTAACTCAGTACAGCACCGCATGCTCTATAAGTCAATCGAAACTGGATAAGTACCCTACTGAAGTCACCTCCAACTGTGTTTATAAGTTTACGTGCACTTGAGACAGCAAGTACATTGGAAGGACAGAAAGAAGGACTTCTATTCGCTTTTCAGAGTATATTCCAAGAAACGTATGCTGAAAATGAAGCAGATATTCATGAAGTGCAATTACCAGACACCCACCATGTGGATACACTGTTTAGTCATTTCATACTAGTGAAGTCAACTCACTGAGCAAGTTTTCAACTTGATGAACTATAACCTACTTGAGTTGCTAATGTCAGCCTATATATCAACACTTTATTCAATTTTTCTGTTTTCTATCTCCCCATGCCCCTTCCTTTTTGTACTTTGAAAGCATATAAGTTGATGGTAACTTAGGCCAAAAATTGTAATGCTTATATTTCGGATATGTTGATTTTATGGTGTTTTCTTTACTACTATTGAAACATTTAAGTATCTTACTGTCATTATTTATAGCCATTGTAATTTAAGGTAGTTTGCAGCTGATGAGAACCTGCGAAATATGATGATGATATCATTTTCTGCTGCAAATTTCGTTTTTCTTTCTTTATTAAGACCGATCTTCATTGTTATTTGACTTGAATTATTTCCTCTGATAAATGAATTTACCGAAAAGAGCTTCTTCGCTGAACTACGCGGTTTTTTGTTATTCAATAATTTTGTATTGTTCACCTTGCGAATTCTTATGTATTCATCTCGCCTGGGTTTACTGAAGTCAAAGGTGAGATTCAACTTAGTTGGATATGCCTCCTTTGAAGTAAATTGGTATAGTGGTGAGAGCTGGCTGAGAAAAAGCCAAAATTGTAGACAGCAATTTACGTCAATATTACGACCCGAATCGGGGTCACGAGAAAAAGAAATAAAAAAGCTTAACCTTGAGGGACTCATCAACCAATCACAAGATATTTAACGTGTGCAAATACGATTCGCAGATATATGGCTTAATTTTCTGAGAAACGGTCACAAGCAGTACAGGATAATCTTCAGCAAGAAAACAAACAATCATAAGTGGTTGCTTCTCCGCTGTCAATAATTTACATTAAAAATCTACAAATATCTATTGATTTTCTCAATAAACAAGCTGTTGCCTGGCCTTTATATTATATCGTTACATTATTGCTTAGCTCGTGTTCTGTGAGATAAAGAAAGCATTGGGTGTGATACCTATAACTTCTTAAATAGTCGGTAGAGCAACTGGATCTCGTCTTCCCAACTCATAGGTACAACGTTTTCTTTCTTTCTTTTCCTTTTCCCTTTTTTCTCTTATGTGCTGTTTTGTTTCTTTCTTCCTTAAAAACTCTACTTAAAACATTCTTCTTCATTCTTTCACGCTGTATATCTCGACCTTTTTGTTAGCGTTTACGCCGCTAGCATCTACTTTTCTAACACCTTCAAACACTCTGTTCAATTTTGGTTTTGCTACCGACATGCCAATATGTTGTTGTCAAAACTAACTGAGATTACCCTTAATTTATGTAGGACTTTATTTATTGTTAATGTACAAACTGGATGCAATACTGTAGTGAAATGCTGAGAATTCCATTCTGTATCACAAGTATTGTTTTGGAATAAAGCAAATTATTATTGTTATTATTATACACATTTGTTTATACTAGATAGTTTGAGGCAATCAGCAGGAAGCCATGCTTGAACCTAGGTTTCGAGCTAGTTGGTACTCGTCAGCAAGGCGTATCTGTAACTGCCTTGAAAGAACTCATGTACCTTCTGAGATTCAAACCCACGTCACCCAGTGAGCGCTGCAATCAGAGACGTTACCACTGAGTTATTCGGACTCGTGATTGATCATCTGTAGAACTGTATTTTGATTGGACACCAGTAACTAGTGTGACGTACAGACTGACTAGACATTTCACACTGGTTACTAGTGTCCAATCAAAACACCTTTACAATTATCGATAATTTAGGATAGTGCGAAGAGATGTGTACACCTATTTTAAGAAAATATTACTTATTTCAAACAACTATTTGAATTTTTGTGCGTCGGTGGCACAGAGGTTAGTATGCTCGCCCACCATGCACATGGTCTGGGGTTCGATCTCCGGCCACGGAAGCACTCCTTTACCTCACTTAGCCAGTAATAAGATTGGTAAAGAGGCAAGGTTGGGGGCATGAGGCTAGCAACCCCATCTTGTAAAAATAAACACCACTGCTACAGAAACTTCAAGCCTCTAGCTTGAAGCCACCTTATGTTTCACTGGGAACGTGAAGGAAATAAAAATAAAAATTTAAATTTGCAGAGTACTGTATGGCCTTATTTACGAATCGATAAAAACTGACAGAAACACATAAACTTATTGATTACTTGTCTATTTGTTTTTTCTAAACATGGTCACTCTTCAACTTCTCGAAATAACATGTCCAACTTCTTTTCTTATTTTAGTTATCGTAAAGGCGTATACTTTATAAAGCTTATACATACATATATTGTAGACAACAACATGTTAACACCACTAGTGTACAAAATGCGGAAATGCATTCAAACAAATTGTTATGTGATGATAAAAGATTAAAATACATAAATTGAACTTCTTAACTGACAAACACAAACTAATCATATGGAATGAATGATACAAGACGATGATGACTCTTTTCATCATCATGAATTTTTTATCCAAGCAAAATATAGTAAACAAAAAAACAGCTGAAGATCACAGCTAAGCATCACCATGACAACACAGATTTAAGCAAAGATTTAAACACTAGCGCTACGGCATAAATGAATTCGGACAATGTCACTAGCCAGATTTTTTTTCTTCACTATTCACAACATTTATTACACTTTATAATATTTAAATAATAATACTGAACTTTATAAAGAACAAAATAAAGTGGCAATCAAAGAAGGATTTTCTCTTCTTTTCGAATTTGATAGAAATACCGATAAATGCTCAGCAGCAAATTAGTAGAAAGTTACTTAAAATACCCATACGGAAAACATTTTGCAGAAATAATAATGGAATGATCACAGACGAAATTTCCCCTATTCCTGATAAGAGCTCTTTCTCTCTCTCTCTCTCATTGTAATAATCCATAGCGAATATTACTTCTCGAGTTCCCGTATACTCGACGAGTAGGTTCCACAGAATTAGGCATAAGTTTAGTTGATGAATTAGTACTTGCAATACCAACACTTTTTGTAACTGCAGCAACTTCTTGTAAAAATGTTCTAGAATTATGAACACATGTCCCTCCGATGATAATATCGACATCTGGTGTTGACGAATTGATTTTATGTACACTACACACCTCTTCATAGGTGACACCACCAATGAAAAAGACAATAATTTCTTTTGGACGTTGTCCACTCGGTACAGTCTTCCAACAAGTACCAGTAGCTAGGCTAGGAAATGAAGCATCACGTAGTTGACCTTTAGTTAGTTTATTTAAAATATCTACTAATAAAGGTTCATGTTGAGTGTATACATTGTCTACACCTTTTAATTCTTGTACTAAGCGTTTTTTTAATGAAACCATTGCTTTTGTAGCGCTTTGAGCGTCTACAATCCCTGCTGCTGTTCCTCCACTAGTTGTTGCATTTTTCACCACATTGAATAAATCGAATCCATCAGAAGAGGATACTGGCCATGAATACTCTAATAACTTTTCAATAGTTCTAATATCTTCATCTGTTGCACCACGTGTCACCAAGGCACGAATTAATCCAGCCAACTCCTGCTTTTGTTTACCATAACGTAAAGCATACAACAGGACAAGTCTTAAAGCATCAGCAAGCAGAATTCTTGGATCACTGACTAAACTTTTAATACGTGATAAAACTGAAGTATGATTATCCCGGCAGACAAGTTCTTGTTCAACTTCGCTTACTTCTAGTAGAGCATGTTCTTTTACAATTCTAGACAACTCTGACATCAATGTCACATGTGTATCAACAGTACCAGATGCCTTTCGAAAGGCTGGATAATTTTCTAGAAACTTTTTCAAGTCGCCAATGGACTCCAGATTTTTGGCGTCAACAGATTTTGAGGCTTTTTGAAAGTTATCAACAAGTTTTTTAATCGATTGTCCAATATCACCAAAATTGCAAAATTGATTTGTACGATAAAACTCGTCGAATTCACGATCCAGAGTAATTTCTTTCAGATCGGATTTGACATTCGGCGCCCGAGCTAAACTGACACGATTCTGTGTGATACCGATTAATTCATGAACCATAGCTTCATAAGTCCATTGTGACAACAGTGGTGTAACAGTATCTTGTCTTCTGTCTAAAATCAATAACACAGGAGCTGGTTCTGTTTGTCGAAAATCAAATAACACCGTCTCTCTAGAGATTAAGGAACGGATAGATTCAGCCAACTGACGAGCTGCTTCTGAATTATTCTGATAGCGTATTACAGGACACTTTTTTAAAGCTAACAGTACTGATGTAACACCATCAGTGGTTCGATTCAACACTCGACTATTCATATCTCTACTTTCATCCAAACTGATAGGCACGTCAAGTTCAAAGAGAAATGGTGATAAGGGGATGAAATCAGCAAAATACTCTTGAACTTCAACGACAGCTTCATTCTCATCGGCTTCTGCCAACTGTTTAAGTAGCTGTTTAGTTATTGAATGACTAAAGAATATATAATAGGAAAAATAATTTGGTTTTCTTAATTCTTGTGATAATAGGCTGATATTTTCTTTTGTTGGTCGTATAAAACAAATACAACGTAAGTGTTCAAGTGGTTCACGTGGTGAGTCGATACGTTCAATCAGGTAGACATCATATTTCATAATTTCTGACATAGAACACACAACACTAACAATTTTTAAGGTTTCTTGATCAAGCATTAACACTTTCATGCCTCCACCATCTGCCATCGAAACCATTTTGTTGATGTAATTTCGTACGGCACGATGAATATTCATTGTCTGGAAATGCTTTTTAAAAAAAATGCTTGATACGATTAAATATTGAGACCTACACAGTATTAGGCAAGATTTACAAAAAAAATGATTAAATTAAGTAAAGATTTACACTAATAATCTAGAAAACTATTCACAACTTTGTATTAGGTAATAAAAGTAAATTGATGCATTAAGAACCGTATATATATATATTCCGTATAATCCCACCAGAGTGAATAACAATTCAATGTGAAGAATTTTAAGTAATGTAACAAGACAGACACAAAATGACCGTAAATGTAAAATGGCTTAAATAATTCCAATATGAGAGCGAACAGTCCAGCAGTATACCTACCTTGGCTTCTTTTTTATTACAGCTTGATTCCACACCGTATATTTGGTAGAATTCTGGAGTTTTCAACATGTGATATCGGTAGCCCAGAGTTTTGCAGGCTGATCATTAATACCAGGTATGCGTCGGCAGGGGATCGAACCCCGGACGATGTGCATGGTTGGCGAGATTCCTAACCACTTTTCCATCAACGCACAATAAAGGGAGGACCGTGAGGCCCCTCACCGCTAGCAAAAACTACACGACCGAGCACACCTGATTAAGGTCTGTCGCGAGTTTCGAACCACCCAGATGAAATGGTGAGTCTCCTCCAGCCTCTGTCTGTCTGTCTGGCTTCAACATAGAACTTGGCACCGAAGTGCAGCAGTTCGAGTTGCCACGTTCCAAATAGCACACAGAGGTAGACAAGAAGATGAGTGAAGAGAATCAATAGAGTTTGACAAGTATAAAAGTGAAACAGAATGGGTAGTGGTAGAAAGGACTATGAAAGATTACACAGACTGAATACATCTGCGCCATTGACAACGATTTTGAGCCATATCACCTATTGTCTCCAGCCATTGATTCCTAGAGTCCCGAGGGCCCCGAACCGGAAGTCTGCATCTCCCTACCTGACTCAGTTTAACTGTCAAGGATTTCATGGATTGATGAGGCCATGTTTTTGTTTGGCCACCACTGGCTCTTTTCCAACCTGCACCTATATCAGCTAGTAATGTCTGTCAGGGGAGGCGATGGGTAAGCATGCGCAGCACGTCACCTAGCCATCTCAATCTATGTAACTTTATAGCCTCGTCGATTGATTTTCCCTCTTTGCCCAACACTACGCCTAACGTCAACATTACTTACCTTATTATACCAACTAAGGTGAGAAAGAGATCGCAGACATCTATGATCGAAAGCAGTCAACCTTTTCATTTCTTCAACTCGCATTGGCCATGTTTCAGAGCCATAGAGAAGGACGGAGCGAACTGCTAAGCAGTACACACGTCCCTTGGTTGATAGCCGGATGTCACGCCTACGCCAGAGGAGGTGTAAGTCAGCGAAAGCAGTTCGAGCCTTTTGGATCCTTGCTGATATTTCGTCACCAATCAGTCTGTTGGTGCTAATACAACTTCCCAAATAGGTGAAGTGGTCAACATGTTCTATCTGTCTGTCTGTTTTCGACATAGAACTTTGCACAAATGTGCGGAAGTTCAAGTCGCCACATTCCGTTCTATCACTTCACTCCCTATCACTAAGCTAGGAATTGACGTAGTCCAGTCCTGTAGCAGCATCTTACATTTTGCAGGGGCGAATCGCATGCCAAACATACGAAGATTGCTGCTCAAGGTGTTCAGAAGACTCTGCATTTTGTCAGCATCCTCTCCTAACAGGACTATGTCATCTGCATATTCTAAGTCCATAAGACTATTCCCTGGTAACAAGTCGATTCCTAAGTCCTTACGTTCAGTTAAGGATACTTCCATTAGCATATCTATGATGAAGTTAAACAGAAATGGGGAAAGTGGACATCCCTGTCGGACACCACTGGTTGTTACCAATTCAGATGACAATTCCCCATAAGCCCTTACACGACTACGTGAGTTTGAATAGAGTGCCTTGATTAGTGCAATGTACTTTCTTGGCACTCCCTTCACAGTCAGACATTGCCATAGTACCTTTCGATCCACGGAGTCGAAGGCCGCCTTCAAGTCAAGAAATATGACAATTGTTGGACGCCGAAAAGTGTGTCTATGTTCTAGAATCTGTCGAAGAGTGAAGATATGATCTATGCACCCTCTACCTGGTCTAAAGCCTGCTTGATTTTCCCTTGTCTGTTCCTCCCGAGTTCTGCTTAGTCTATGCATGATTACTGAGCCTAGGATTTTAGAGACTATGTTCGTTAGGCTGATCCCCCTATGATTATCACACGAGGACTTGTTTCCCTTCTTGAATATCGGTATAATAAGTGACTTACCCCAGTCTGATGGAACTGTCTCTGATTCCCAGACTTTGCCTAGTACCTCAGTTAATCTACAAACTAGTATGTCACCCCCATATTTAAACACCTCCGGAATAATTCCGTCGGGTCCTGCCGCTTTGCCTCGTTTCAAATTACTGATAGCTTTTGTGACCTCACTTACAGACGGCGGACCAGTGTCTATATCCCATTCGGGTGTGATGGATGGCGGGGAGGTTCAGTGTGGCTGTAGGCAAGTTAAATTGTCCCTCAAAGTGTTCTTTCCAGCGTTCAAGGCGTCTATCCTGAGAGCTAATTAAGGAGCCATTTTTCTCAGAAATAGTCTCACTTATGATTTGCCTTCTCCCTCCCATTTCCCTGATGAGTCTAAAGAGTTGCCTAGTGTTGCCTATCGCCGATGCTTTTTCCATCTCTTTCGCCTTTGTCAGCCACCACTGTTCACGGTCCTTGCGGAGACTTTTCGTAAGTTTCCTTTTGTGCAGCTTTCGCTCCTCATTGAATTCGGAGCTCGCCGGAATAAGTCTTCTAGCATCTATCAGTTCGGATGAGGCGGTCGAGATCCAATGGTTTTTACTCACCTTTGGATTTACCTTATTCACAGCTTTTACAGTTGTATCTATGCGTTATGTTGTTGCTGCTGAGTGGTTAATAGTAGTTTTCCCCGTCGCCAAATTGTTATGTACTCGTCGCTAAATTATTGCTATGTACTGGTCGAGAATTTAATAGTCCTGACGCAAGAAGGCGGAAATCAGAAGACCACTAGGTTTGCGATGATACTTCTATTTTTCCAAACACAAGAAGCAATAAGTGGTATCACACCAAAGTAAGTAAGTGGACACACAAATTGTGAGAGCGAAATATATATGACCGTTCAGACAAGTGTGTGAACAAATCAATAGACAGTCTTAACATGAATGGCTAATTATAATGGAGTATCGATCCAAACATACATAGCAAAATATAGCAGACATGTCAACAACCACCATATATGGATATATGTCACTAAGCAACGGACTGTCAACAAACACTCATATTATATATAATATAATATAAGGAGAATACACATTATTAAAGGAGACAAGTTCATACAAGTGAAATGGTCACAGACTAAGCGAGCAACAGAAAGAGAGACCACCATATATATATATATATATATATATATATATATATATATATATATATATATATGGGTACATATCACTATGGCTGACTGAATATTCTCCCAGGCTTCTTCAGGGTGAGCACAGCTGTCGAACTCAGATATGCGTTTAGCTAGTTCCTCCTCAAATAGGGATTTAATTTCCTGATCGATCTGGGGACATGATGGGTTAACCGCCAGCTGTTTCCTACGTCCGTTCAGTCGTAAGCACACACGAGCCCGGACCAGTGCGTGATCGATATCTACACACGTGTTCCAGAAGGAGCGACAATCTCCTACCGACCCACGCCAACGATAGCTTATTGCTATGTGGTCTATTTGTGTCCAGCATTGGTTTGATGATGGGGGTCACCAGGTCAAACAGTGTCTCTCCTTGTGTTTGAAGTTAGTGCTTACAAGAAACAAATGATTATCTGAACAGAACTGTAGGAGACGGTCACCGTTGTCGGTTCGCTGGCACGGGACTCCATAGGTGCCACCGACATCCTTCTCAGATTGAAACAATTTCCCTACTTGAGCATTAAAGTCACCAGCTACAACGACTATATCTGAGCGTTCGGCCTTTCGCAGCAAACCAGACAGCTTTTGGTAGAACTCAACTTTCGTTTCATCCGAACTGTAGTCAGTGGGGGCGTAGGCGGAGATTATGAAAAGGCATCGGCGAGTAGTGCAGTCCTTTCTCCTTCATACTGATCCGTTCAGACGGACAGCACACATTCGGCTATCTACCGGGATCCAGTCAAGCAATGTCTTTTCTGCCCTAGTACTCAAAGCTATCCCTACGCCAGCTAATCCTCGTGAACTGGCTGTGGCATCTCCTGACACCCTCGAGGTGAATTTTGAATCCTTTAGCCGGATCAGAGTATTCTTGATCAGCCTGAACCCGGCGCCAGACTGTTTCCATATCTCTTTTTCCTGTTAACTGACATTGCAGCAACCCAAAAACGGTAGTCTTTTAAATGGTTTTACAGTGATCTGTTTGTTGAGATTTATTAGCTTACACTGAAGCACTGCTGCCATATACCTGATGTCTTTTATCAACCTAAAAACTAGCGAGCTGATATTAATTTGTCATTGACAAAGAGTGTTAGTGTATTGTGAATCTCAGTCTTATGACAGAAAAGCCAGTGATTCCTACTGCTGATAATATTCTGGTCTCATTATTTCTATGCCAAAGATAACAAAATGATACATGAAGTGCACTCATTAAACCTGAAGGAGCAACTATTCACACAGAATGCATGTCCAGTTATTTTACCGAAGCAATAATGTTTCAGATATTCAAAAGACTCGATTCTATACACAGCATACACATTTGCTGTGAAAGCTTATTGTCTCAGTACTTAACACCAGACAAGCGTGTGCAGACAACCAATTGGGCATGAAGCCTAAAAACATAAAGTTCTTCTTCAAAGTTAAACAGAAACACACCACACTGATGAGAAAATGAAACAATTAGGCATATATTTATGGTATGAATCACTAGCACCTTATTTTAAAAAGTTTATATTATGTATCACTCCCATACTGGCATTATTTTACTACTCTTTTGGTGATAATGCCAGCAGTATCTAAGATTTTAATACACAAGAGAGCTGTCACCCAACCCACCCATGGCTAGGTGACGTGCTGCGCATGCTTACCCATCGCCTCCCCTGACAGACATTACTAGCTGATATAGGTGCAGGTTGGAAAAGAGTAAGTGGTGGCCAAACAAAAACATGGCCTCATCAATCCATGAAATCCTTGACAGTTAAACTGAGTCAGGTAGGGAGATGCAGACTTCCGGTTCGGGGCCCTCGGGACTCTAGGAATCAATGGCTGGAGACAATAGGTGATATGGCTCAAAATCGTTGTCAATGGCACAGATGTATTCAGTCTGTGTAATCTTTCATAGTCCTTTCTACCACTACCCATTCTGTTTCACTTTTATACTTGTCAAACTCTATTGATTCTCTTCACTCATCTTCTTGTCTACCTCTGTGTGCTATTTGGAACGTGGCAACTCGAACTGCTGCACTTCGGTGCCAAGTTCTATGTTGAATCCAAAGAGAGAGACAGACAGACACCCACCGACGCCCCAAAAAACAACTATCTGCATTTATGTAGACTAATGTAAAGTGCTAATTAGTGAAAGAACCAATACATGGTTAAGGCACTGCTCATCTTTACCACTGAAACTATATATATATATATATATATATATATATATATATATATATATATATATATATATATATCTTCAACTACAACCCTACGCCATTACAAAATCCCTCATCTTATAGTTTTCTATACACAAGTAATGCCAGAAAACGCACCTGTGGTTACAAGATTGCAATCTTTCGCGTAGTCTTGTTCCAGTAGCCATAACTTAGACCCCTCAAAGTACGACAGAGCAGACTACAACGCAGTACATGTCCTTTAATTAGTAGCAGCATATCCCACACTAGTGCCAACTATAATTCTGGTTAGAGAATGCAAGTCAACCCCGTATTTATGTTGTCACTATCGAGGCTGATAAAGCCTGGCAGATAAATAAATTCAACAGTTAGCACAAATATAAGATTGTTTTGCATTCTATAACCAGAGTTATCTTTAGCCCTTTTGAGGCCGACAAAAACTTTCCAGACAAAATTCAACAGCCTTAATGAAGTGACGGGCTGATGAAATCTCAGCATGGATACAAAATACTCATGTGGCATTTCCCAACTTACGTTATCTCGTTATTGAATTCAATTTCCCGTAGATTGATTGGACCGAAGTGCTCAGCCTCAGGTTGACATGTCAGCTCCTTGTGCAGATACTTCGACGATGTCTGATTATTTAACCTGAAGTATATTAGTGGATGGTGATCAGCAGTGGAATTCAGGTGGCTGCCATGGCCCAAGTGGCTCAGTGGATAACGCTTTGACCTTTGAAACTACAGGTACTGGGTTTGAGCCTCAGTGGGAATACCATCACTAACTGGGAGTGCAAGCACATCCAGGTGGCGAGTCCCAAATAGGACGAGGTTCGCAACCTGCATCCCACTGCTGGTTACCATCTACCAACTTACTTTACGTCATCTGTGCAAAAGTCATATTCAGCTATCCATTAAAAGTGTGAACTGTAGAACAGATCGCTTTCTCCTTCTTTATGACTGTACAATTTGGAGACTGAAAGTGGAATATACGAAAAGGCCAGTTGTTTTTTATTATAGATGTTTGCGTTCTGTCTCTCAGTTCATGTGGTATAATTTGGTATGCCATACTGGGGTTAGGCATATACTACTAGGTAAGGAGGGTACATCAATCGATGGGATTGTGAAGCTACATCTATTGAGACACCAAACACAAGTAGCGCATGACGAGTCACAGCTTTTCTTGACAAGCAATTTTATGTGTAGTAGGATTACGATAGAAAAGTTATGGGTGGTCAAATAAAAACCATAAAGTCTTCAACTGTTGGTGTGAGCCAAGTAGGAAGCTGCAGACTGCTTTGTTGGAGTCCGTAAATTGCTAAGAGCCAATAGCTTGAGGCTATTGGTGACAGCTAAAATCGTACTCAGTGTCTCAGATACATTAACAAATAATCCCCCTCCCCCAGATACTAGTGAAAAAAAAAACAGATCAAAGAAGAGGATCTTTGTGGCGAATTCACCTAATAAACCGTACAATCGCATTTACATGCAACTTTTTCATGAGAAGGGAGTAAGAAAAGTAGCAAGTTTGTTGGTTTGTTTTTCAAATGCCTTTAACTCTAGGTATTTCTTTAGAACCTTTACGTAATTTCATACTTTCCTTCGTTTCTATGTGCATCCTGATTGCTTCTCATCCATTAAAATTATTCATATTATTAGGTAACTTCAATACACTTACATAACTTGGATGCACTGACCAATACTGACAACTCATTTTTGTTACTACTCTTTCAAGACAAACTGTATATGGATGAATTTGTACAGCTTAGTAAATGAATCACCAAAAAGCACCTCTTCGCTGAACTACGGTTAGGGTGTCAAGTTAGCTTACACTATTTGTCCTTAACCTTAAACTTGTTGCAGATAAGTCACAAACCAAAAACCGGATATTATATATATATATATATATAACGCATTCATAGCATAGTTTCATTTGTGTGCAAGGTGTTCAGAACACTGCACTTTGACAGAGACTTCACCTTATTGAATAGTGCTATACATGTACCTTGAAACAACAAGTCTTTTTGGCTAACAAAGTGATTCCATTATTAAGAGTTGAATACAGAGACTTCTGGAATAAAAGCAAGTGGAAATTGACCAACGTGTTGTAAACTATGAAGAGGAGCTGATAAGCAGTGATAAGTACGGAATCTCAACATCGTACCATAGTCAAAAGAGACTACAACCCCAAGAAATGACTACAGACCCGACTTATATTCTCTTTCTTCCCACCAGCTTGGGATATCTCGATGAAAGCAGCAGGAGAGTCCAACAACCAATAATAAACTATATTGCCGAGTCTCTCATAATCATTGCCTCTAAGAACAAACTCACAGAGCTAGTATATGAGTCCTGAGTCGACATGTATGAAAGGAGTACAAACAAGCACGGATACTTAAAGAAAAGGACTTACAAATCTGAACTCTACTGGAAAATGGAATCGCTCCCAGTCGGATGGGCAGTCTTCGTACAAAGAAAATACCTGTACAAAAGGCTGACATCTGTCTTAATGCAGGTCTGTAACCGTATCAGGACAATGATAACAAAATCCATCTAGTGAATGGTATGTGAAAACTCATGCCCTCTTGTGAACAAAATCCTAATGAAACGCCTGCTGTGTAACTGCCTTACTGTACAGATACTCGTGAGTATAGGAGGTAATTGTGGATAGCGTGTTAACTACACTGACTAGATTATTTTGCATGTAGTCGAAACCTAACCAAAAACTTATAATAAAACGAGCGTGGTTAAAAGATTTCATAGATTCGTTTCACACAATTGAATCAGGCAAAAAGGAGGTTATGCTTAGGATAAAATATTATATGCCGAATAATGTGTAAGTTCTTTAATCTCCGCAACTTTTAACTGACTACAAACAATAGAAACACCGAATAACTTACCTTGAGAAAAGAAGTATACTAACACAGATCTTTTAGTGTGGAATCAAAATTAAAAAACAGTGATTTTTTTCCCTAATCCTCATAAGAATGCACAATGACGCCAATTAGAAGTGATATAGCGTACAGGTGGAAAAGCGCGGCGACTTCAATATCCAACTACTGATAAATTACAAAATGCTGTTTCGTTTTCACGAGTTAGTATAAACCTAATTAACTTCTTTACGATCACTTCTTGGTTGTAGAGTAAAGTTCTCCGATCTTCATTGGAAGTCTGCGTAATGTGTCCCGCCACTAAACTGACGTAGCTGTGGTTACATTCAGGGGGAGTAGTGTGGGGTTTGGTTATATATGGTTTACAGTGCGCGATGCCTTCAGACCTTATCGGTTCTATGAATGCAGCTGGTCCCTCTGATGATTGGTCGCGGGGTATGGCTTAAAAGGGAAGTAATAATTACAATTAGTGTAGCTCATGTATACTTAAAAGGAAAATTGTACGAACAGAGATAATAAAATTTATTACCTGAAGAATAGGTTAATGAATAGATGGAGTGGCCAGAAGAATACGACGAGGGGAATGGGAAGTGATGTGTCATCCAGTAACAGAGTCTGGTGTGTGAGTTTCAAGGGGACAGTCACTGTGTTGTTGCGTGCTTATCCCGGCTCCACTCGGAGCTTTTCGCACAAGCCACAGTAGTAATACCACCTAACGAAGCGTTCCTAGAACAACAAAGTGGAGGCGAAAAGATATGAGAGCGCACCTGATTCTTTGCTCTGCACGTGCGGAAACTCGTGGGTTCCTGTGTGGAGGCCCATGATGGCTTAATAGAAGCGAATCTTTGTTTAGGTGGTTCTTGGCTTCCCTAAACTTGTGGGTATTAATTTAGTCATCTTCAAAGCCAACAGTAGCTAAGTGGAAAGATATCGAACTTCCTTACCCTTTCATAGTATGGATCATTCCGGAGATTCACCACCACATACGCCTCCCGTCTTTAGACCTACTCCAAAAAGTTTGAGTAAGTGAGAGCACCGATATATTTCAGTCGGAGGTGTGGTAGTTAGCATTCTGTGTAAAACGTCAGACATACCGAACAATATATCAGAATTTTGACGACAAGCAAAAGCTCATTGCACCTTATTCCAGAAAAATATTAGGTTACGCCGCCTGAAAGACTTCGGGGTCGTTTCCGATCGGCTTCAGCGAAGAATAACTTCCATGATCGACGGGTGGCCACCGACCCTTCCTGGCCTGAGTTCTAGTCGCATCACGTTCTAACTCTTTAGCCTGGCCCAACTAACCTGGTGGTTAGATGGCTCTTAGCACCGCCCCTACTAGTGGTGGGAGAATATAACCCTTGCGGCTGTTTAAGGATCTATTTAATAACTATGGTATGAGGAGAGTGAAGAGGTACACAATCACATCACAACACACACCAGCACTTTGGTTCCTTGCAAACCCACCCGTTCGCACTATGAACCAGTCAGCATATGCAAACGATCTGATCGTTGGAGTTGAAACGGTTGAGCTTCAATTGAATTGGAGGACTCCTTTAATCTCCTACAGTACTACTTCGGCCGCTATGAGTATGTGTCAAGCACAACCAAACAGTACACATCATCTATTGGCCCAGGAAAATTCACATTTTATCTGGACCTTGGTTGTTATGAGGGCTATGCTTCCAGTGGCTCACGAGACGGATATTTTGCTTAATCTTGGCGCCTATGGATGTCACCAACGGCAACAAAGGCGCTGAAGCAATGGGAGGCGATCTCGTCCAGGATAATGACCTCCAGATTCAACTCCAAAGGAAGGAAAGTGTCAATTATACAATGTTATGCACCCACAAATAACGCAGACCCCGAAAAGAAAGAAGAATTCTACAGACAACTACAGGCAACAATGGACAATACTCCAGCTGGTGGCATTAAAATACTGATGGGAGACATGAACGCCAAACTGGGACCAGACAACGCAGGAAGAGAACTCATCAAGGGTAGAGAAGCTCTCGGAGAAATGAATGAAAATGGAGAACTCTTCGCCAATTTCTGCGCCTTCAACGAACTAGTGATTAGTGGCAGCGTAGACGAAGACAAAGATATCCACAAGGCTACATGGGTGTCACCAGACGGGCAAACCAAAAACCAAATTGACTTTATCTCAATATCAAGGAAGTGGAGGAGCAGGCGTTGGCTCAGATCATCCAGTGCACCGACGAGCAACAAAAACAGGAGTTGAATGCAAGCTGCAATACACTGAACAAAAGAGTAAAGAAGAGTGCCAGAGAAAACAAAAGAAAACATTATGAAGCCATGGCAAGTGAAGCAGAACAAGCTGCAGGCAAAAGGGACCTCGCCACACCCTACCAAACAACTAAGCACCTATCGGGCGAAAGTTCGACACAGATTAAGCCAGTGAGGGATGACAATGGAAAGTCAATCACCAAAGAAGTGGAGCGAAGAAAACACTGGACTGAACACTTCAAAAGACTTCTAAATCGACCGCCACCTACAACGTGCCCAACAATACCAACAACGGAAGCAGAACTACCAGTGAACATCGACCCCCCGACAAAATCAGAAGTCCCAAATGCAATCAAGATGCTAAAAGCTGGGAAAACACCAGGACCAGATGGAATCCCAGTAGAAGCATTGAAAATGGACCCCAAGACAACAGCGGACTTGATGACACCATTGCTGAAGAAGGTGCGGAAAGAGGGCAAAGTACCTAAGGACTGGAAGAAAGGATACTTACTCAAACTACCAAAGAAAGGAGACTTAAGTCAATGCAAAAACTGGCGTGGAATTATGCTTCTGTCCATCCCAAGCAAAATACTAAGCCGCATCATCCTGGAGAGAATCAAACACGCCAACCTGGATGCAAAACTTCGACCGGAACAAGCTGGATCCAGGAGAAACAAGTCAAGTATTGATTAAACCGCCACACTATCGATCATCATTGACCTAAGCTTGAAATGACAGTCAACTCTCTATCTCAATTTCATTGACTTTGTAAAGGTCTTCGACAGCGTCGATCGTGAGGCGATATGGAAACTACTTCGCTAATACCAACGGGTGCCATCGACAATTGTACATCTCATCCAACATTTGTACGACAATGCTGCGTGCCAAGTTATCCACAACGAGAAACTTACGGAATCCTTCGAAGTGAGGACGGGAGTGAGACAAGGTTGATTACTATCAAAAATGATCTTCGTGATTGCAGTAGATTGGATAATGCGACAGAAAACGGGCAATGAGGAAACAGGCATAAAATGGACTTACACAAAAAACTTGGAGGATCTGGACTTCACCGATGATATATGTCTGATTTCCCACAAACTTGAAGATATGCAAGTGAAAAGCAACAAGCTGGCCGAAGAAGCAAACAGAGAAGTTAAGACATCAGGTGAACGTGGAGGAAACAGATGTGGTGATGAAGATTCCTGGCCAACACCAACAGCAGCAACAACAACAGACAACAATCAGCCTGCATAAATGGGAGGAACCTGAAAGAAACAACCTCCTTCACCTACCTGGGAAGCATCGTTTCAACTACAGGCGGACGGGACTGATGAGGATATCAAAGGAAGAATCGGAAAAGCGAGACAAGCTCTCATTACTCTCAAGTCTGTGTGGGGGTCAACAGCACTCAGCACCAAAAGTAAGATCCGGATTTCCAACTCCAATGTGAAGTCAGTACTACTATACAGATCAGACACTTGGCGCGTCATAAGGAGCACATCAAACAAGCCACAGACCTTCATTAACAATTGTCTTCGCTAAATACTTAAGATCAGATGTCCTGGCAGAAAAGATCAGCAACAAGGATCTCTGGGAGCAAACCAACCCAGCAGGAACCGATTGTGAAACAAATAAACAGGAAGAAGTGGAGATGGATTGGCCATAGTCTGAGGAAACCATCAAGCGAGTGACATCACTAGACAAGCCCTTGAGTGGAACCCGAAAGGGAAGCGGCGAGTTGGTCGTCAATGCAAGGGTGACTTGGACGAGGTCATGTGAAGAGGAGATGAAAGCATGTAGGCAAACTTGGAGCGGAGTGAAAAAGTTGGCACAGAACCAAACGCAATGGAGACGCGCGGCTGAAGCCCTATGTTCCTCTAGGAATTAAAGGATATAATAATTGTTGCCTATGACTGGCTTTAACGAAATCTTCCATGTCAGCGTCTGGACTCGACAGGTGCGCACAGGTTCCAGCAGTCGTCTTAATGCGTGCACCACCCGGATGCCCACTGTAAGACTGCCTCAGAGTAGACAAGCATAGTCACAACCACTGTTGGACGAGGGGTAGCTGCGTAGCCAAAACCTTCTTTTTAACGATATGGTCTACGAGCTCGCCTTGTAACCAGAAGGTGTTGGGTTTGATCCCCGGGAGCGCGTACTGTGAAGAGACCCAAACTAGGACGGAACAGCTATCCAGCAAACCTAGGTCTTCCAATAGTCCCCTAATTGATGTCAGCTCATGGTGAAATCTTCTAACCAATCAAACAAACAAAATCCCTACAAAAACCATTACTTGATATCTCATTTTGAAGTTGTACCCCAGTAAAATCATAGCTCATGATTACTAAGTGGACTGGAATATCCATTTTGGACCCTAACATTGACACTAGGTGTGTGTGATTTTTCAGTAAGTTGGACCTATCGTACAGCATCTTTCGAACATTTTGCGCTGCGTAGAATGAAGCAAGGGTCCTTTTCTCCAAGTGTGCATATCTCCTTTCTGCTGCAGAGAGGGAGAGAAAGATAGAAAACACTCTTGTATGTCCCATTGGAAAATTCACGTAGTAACACAGTGCCAGTGCCTGCAGCTGAGGCATCATCTGGGACTACAATGGCCAGTTAAGAATCGTGGTACGTTCATAACTGTGTCCGGCTGAAGGGACTCTTCAATTTTTGGACCGATTTATCACGCCCTTTGGACCTGTCCTGTGGATGTAACAGGCAGTTAAATGATTCGCGGATATTATGTAGCCTTGGCAGACGAGCTCAGTAGTAGGTAGACATTCCCAAGAAGCAGCGGAGAGTCGAAACGTCTTTCGGGGCTGACTTGTGCTTGATTGTAGGAATGCTGTCTAGGTTAGTTCGCCAACTCGTTGCATCGAAGGTGAAACCCATCCAGACCTGCTGGGAAACAGACAAAAATGAGGATGTTATCATTCATCTTAA